GTTTTTTTTTTTTTTTTTTTTTTTTCTTTTCTTTGACACAGCCCTGGCTGTGCTGGAGCTCACTTCGTAGACCAGATAGGCCTCGAACTCACAGAGATCTTCCTGCGTTTCCCCAGGGGAGTGTTGGGATTAAGGCCATGGATGCCACCACTCCCAGCCCCAGTTACCTTCTTTATATTTCCCAGAACTACTTGCCCAGGGGTGGCACCACCCATGGTTGGGCTGGGCCCTCCCACACTCATCATTAATCAGAGAAAATGCCCCACAGACTTGCCTACCAGCCACTTTGATGGCGACATTTTCACAGTTGAAGTTCCCTCTTCCCATATGACTCTAATTTATACCAAATTGACAAAACAAACAAACAACTAAGTGGCAAAAAGGCTGAGTAAAGACTAAAGGCTGAGGTGGGGTATTGATTGAAAAAATGTCTTAGCATTGTAATGGTTACATAACTCCATAAATAGACTAAAAAGCCATTAAGCAGTATACTTTATTATTATTATTGATTTCCTGTTTTTGAGGCATTCTCACAAAGCCGAGGGTGGGGTGGGGGGTTTTGGGGGTAGTGGTTTCAAACTTGGTGTGTAGTCAAGGATCACTTCCAATTTCTGAGCTTCCAAACCATAGTGCCTGGATTGCAGGGGTGCATGACCATGTCTGGTTCATTGAATAGTAGGGGCAAACTAATACACATACACGTGATGCATGAGTGAGGGGGACCTCTGAGGCCCTACCCCAAGAGCAGTGTCTGTTAGTGGCTGCAGGGACGTGGAGATTTGCTACTCTTTAGGGCATTGGTAGGTTCCCAGTGCCTCAAAGGATGACTTCCGTCCGGGCGCATGCAAATTGCACTAATTGAATTCAGTGGGCTAAATAAATAATAAAACGATTTGAAGTTGGGAGGGAGATGTGATGGGGGGGAATCTTTAAGGGAGCTGAAGGGGAGAGGGAGGAGTGGATATGATCAAGATATAATTACATACAGGTATAAAAATTTTAAAGAAAATAAAAGGATGCATTAGATATGAATTTATTTCAATACATCTTTTGGAGAAAAAAAAAAGAAACCTAAGGAAAATATCTAAAAAGCACTGCTGTGTGTTCTCGCCCGCCCCCAAGTGCTGATGACATGACTAAGTGCCTCAGATCATTTGTGGAAAAGGTCAAGGAAGCAGATCGCCAGAGACTCCTCCCAAAGACTCTGGGCCTCCACTGACTTTCCACTTTGAGCAGCCTTGAAAACTGTTGGGGGACCCTGGCTGCCTTACAGGTATAAATGGGACTGCTGATCCCAGTTTGGACTCCAGGGTCTAACCCACTGCATGGGTCAGAGTCAATAGCAAGCACTAGCTCCTGGTAATCTCTGAGCCCTGGCCGTCAAGTGGCCCCCGAGGGGCAGGTGGTCCCCTGCTGTGTCGGGGAAGAGACTGGTGTTGCAGAAGAGCTGGCAGTATCCGCAAGTCTAGGGAGAGGCGCCCGGACCGGTTCCACAGAAACTGAGTGTGCCCCGGCTCAGGCCCCGCCCACTTCTACCTACAGCCAGGCTCTGCAAAACGAAGATCTGGGCGGCAGAGACTCTGCAGGGAAACCGGGTGGCCACAGGCCAACTGGCGGATCCTGGCCCATCTCCCTGTCCCTGCAGAGGGGTGCGGCCAGCTCTCCTCGGGATCACAACGCCCCCTCGCGGCTCAGACCCGGGAGTGTCCTACTGACCCCCCCAGTAAGGGCGGCAAGGCGGTGCATCCGTGGGGCGGGGACTCAGAACAAGGTGCTTAGTGCACATAGACAGGACAGACGACCCAGGCGTGCGCCCCTTGGGAACTGTCCCTGACCATGGCCGAGGAGCCAGAGCCAGACCTCGAGGCGGCCGAGGACGCAGTGGAGCCGGCCGTGGACGCAGTGGAGCCCGTCGTGGAGATGCCGAGCTGGAAGGCTCCGGAGGACACAGACCCCCAGGTAGGTGTCTTTTAGGGCCCGCAAGGGTTGCTTCTGGGCTACTTTATTATGAGATCGAAGAGTCCCATAGAGTTAAGTAAAAAGTACTGTTTTAGACCCTGCTTAAACCAGGCAGGAGATGCGTTGTTTACCTGACCCCCTCCCCCACCCCAGGTGAGAGTCATGCTCAACTTCCTGTCTAGGGTGGGGGAAGTAGGGAGCTGCAATGGATGCCCATCAGTTCTATGTAAGAGATGCTTGTTTCTTTTAACCTGCCCCTAGGGCAGTATCAGCTCCTCCGTCCCATAGGGGGATCTCCGGAGAGTCTCTTCTTGTCTTAAAGACCGGAAGCTCAGGCTATACCTTACGGCCCCAGCAGTCTCATGGCCCGCAGTCTCCTGGTAGACCAGGGATTAAGGTTACCCATATTGCTGACTCTCACCTCCCGATGTCTGGGAGTTGTTTCTGGAAATTTGCTGTGTTCCATTTCAGCCTGGAAGTTATGAGATCCGACACTACGGACCAGCCAAGTGGGTCAGCACTTGTGTGGAGTCTATGGACTGGGATTCAGCCATCCAGACTGGCTTCACAAAACTGAATGGCTACATTGAAGGCAAAAACGAGAAAGGTAAAAAAAGTAGCCTCTGAGATCCTGAGGCTATTGAGTTTAAACTTACTGAAGAAATCTCGTTTGTCATAGAATGAATAACCAGACCATTGAAAGCCTACTGTTTTTTTATACATGATTGGCCTCAGGAACCTTAGTGGTAGCTAGAGAGGAAGGTGCTGCGGCTGGGTTCCACTTTTCAATTCTATTCGTCCCCAATTTTGTTGTATGAAATAAGGCTCTGTAACTAGGGAGAAGTCCTTACCTGTGGCAAATGTCTCTAATAACTTGTGAATGATAATTAGTGATACCCCAGAACAAGAAAATGTGTAAGAGAATGAGCCGCAAGTCATTAACACTCTCTCTCTTTCTCCCCGCCCCCGACCCCGTGTGTGTGTGTGTGTGTGTGTGTGTGTGTGTGTGTGTGTGTGTGTGTAAAACTTTCAGGTCTCTTAGCCTATAGGACCTCATTTTCTGAGTTGTAAAGCAAAGATGATTAATTGTCCCATGTTTTCTATAATTTCTCCTTTAAAAAATAGAATTCATCAACCCCAGAATACAACACTACAGAAAATGTAGATTATGAATAATCGTCATTTCCACCCCCCACCCCTCTTTGAAAGATGAGACATTATCTCGAGGGTACCTAGTTATGGGGGTGCTGTAAAGTAAATCAAGAAAGTCACATAAAAAATGGATGGAAAGACTCCCATGAGTCACGCACACACGAAAGGTGCTTTCATTTTCCGCGGTGCAGAGATGAAATTGAAGCTGACCGCTCCCGTGACAAGCTGTGTGGAGGCCGGCTCCGGCCCTTTCAGTGAGTCTACCATTACCATCTCCCTGCGTGTCCCCTCTGAGCAGCAATCCGATCCACCCCGGCCTGCAGAGTCGGATGTCTTCATTGAAGACAGAGCTGGAATGACCGTGTTTGTGCGGTAAGTGGTAGGTAATTCACAGCCCTGCTGACTGCTACCTGTGTGCATTCACCATTCAGCTCCTACACCTGCTCCTACAGCAAGCAGGCTTCTCACCCTTCCGAAAGTACAGTCTAATGCAGCCATGGTGTTTTCCCACTGGCTCAGTTTTAAAATGTCACCGAGGGCTATTTCAAGATATAGTCTATTTACTGGGAAGTCTATTATATACTTTCCACATATAAAACATAGCACAAATTATATCACCCAGAGCATAGGGCCACCCTTTCCTCTAATCTAGGGAGACCTGAATAATAATACCTTCAAAAAACAGTCTACGATGTCATCTTAGTCTGTTCGGGCTACCACAACAAATACTATAGACTCCGTAGCTTATAAGAAACAGAAATTTGGGGTTTTGTTTTTGTTTTTGTTTTGGAGTTCTTTCTAAAAGTTGGGTTCAAGTTCAAGGCACTGAGAGTTTTAGTGACTGGCTAGGGACAGACCATTTTCTGGTTCCGATGAGCACCATTGATCCTCTTTGTAAGGGTGATAATCCCTTTCATGGGGGCTCAACCCCCATGAACTAATCACCCTTCAGAGGCTCTTAAAACCATCACATTAGGAATTCAATATAAATTTTTGAGAGATACAGGCATTCAGTCCACAGCATTCTGTCCCTAAGCACATGAACTTTATGTCTTTCTCATACAAAATACATTCAGTTCCATTGTATTAGCCCCAGAATACAGTCAGATTTTCCTTTGGGCCACCAGCTCACAAATAACAACATGGAGACTTACTATTACTTATGAAATCTTAGCCTTAGCTTGGCTCTTTCCCAACTAGCTCTTATAACTTAACTTATTTCTACTAAACTATGTTCTGCCACATGGCTCGGTCACCTCTCCTCTGTACCGAATGTCCAACTTCTTCAGTGTCTTGCTGACATCTCTCCTGTGGGTCTAGATTCATCCCAAGTCTCTCTCTCTCCCCAGAAGTCCTGCCTATTGTCTCCTGCCTAGCTATTGGCCGTTCAGCTCTTTATTAAGCCAATCACAGTGACACATCTTCACACAATGTAAACAAATATTCCACAACACCAGAATCTTAGCTCTTTTCAGCACTGACTCAAAAAACTCATTTAAATATCATCCAAATAAAATCTGGCTGAGACTCAAGGCATGATTCATCCTGAAGCAAATTCTCACCAGCTGTGGGCCTGTAAAGTCAAACAAGCTATAGGCTTCCAAAGTACAACAGCATGCATGGGAAAGACATCCTCATTCCAAATGAGAAAATAGGGAAGAAAAAGTAATGGGCCTCAAACAAGACTCAGATCTCAAGACTTTAATCTTTTTGACTCAAGGCTCTGCCCCCACCGCCCCTCAGGTCCATTGGACTGGGGGTTGGACCTCTAAAGCTTTACAGGACAGGAATTAGGCTCTTGATGCCCCCACACAGCTGTTTCCCTTGACTTTGGGTACCCCCAAGCCCAGCAAAGTTGTCATGGTTTAGAGCGGTGGTTCTCAACCTGTGGGTTGCAACCCCTTTGGGGTTGCATGTCAGGTATTTACATTACAATTCATAACAGTAGCAAAATGACAGCTATGAAGTAGTGGCAAAATAACTTTATGGTTTGGGGGTCACTACAACATGAGGAACTGTATTCAAGGGCCATATCATTAGGAAGGTTGAGAACCACTGATTTAGAGTCACCTCCTTGTAGATTCATTCCACCAGGCTACAATTACATCCCAGTCACCCTTTAATATGGTGTGCCCCCTCTCACAGTTCCATTAGAGATAGCTGGACTGGAGACTGTCTGTGGTGGCCCAGCCCTCGCTATTGCCCTCTGCTGGCATGCCTCTAGGTATGGGGAGACATTGTTGAATAGATAGACAAGGTCTTTGCTCTTCTTTGAAGGATCCTCTTTCATCTGAGGCTGCCAGATGGCTTTTTTGTTTGTTTGTTTGTTTTTGTTTTTTGTTTTTTTTTTTGGTTGGTTGATTGGTTTTTGTTTTTGCATTGGTACATTAGTAAGAAAACTTATACCAATGAAGCATATTAAAAATACTTTTTGTTCATTTTTAACCTTCTAAGTGAAAAACATTGTACTTGCGTGTCCTATACTTCAGCAGGTCAATGTGTTATTGTGACTTCATCTTGGAATACTTTTATTTATGCACTTTACTAAACTTTTGTTCTTTCCTTTCCCATCTGTGTAGCAGCTCCATCCTTCTGATCTGTCTCTTGGCCTAGTTCTTACCCAGATCTGATCAGATTCCTTTCTGCTCAGCATCCTGTAGCATCCTCCCAAAGGGACATAGGTTAATATGCAAAGCTCTTGCTTCTGGCTTCAGCTATCCTTTTGGACCTCATTTTCTTCTTCCCTTTGTATGCTGGCATTTCCATTTTTCTCATCCCTCCCTCCCTCTGTTCAGGGGGAAAACCATCCTTCATTCTAAGACCAACTCAGGAGGCGCCTACTAGCCTGAACTGAGTCCCATCCTTAGTATTCCGAGAGCCCTTTGATCCTGTCTGTCTCTGTTAAAATACTTCTCAGGAGGTTTAGACGATGCTGTCAAGAGTTGTTCTCTTTCATCGGACTATGAATGTGTAGACATCCAAATTATGTTATATCCATCCACAACCCACTCTGTTCTCCTTGCCCCGGAAGAGGGCAAAGGGAAAGCATTTGATTGAGTGTCTGACTCGGGTCTGTTGACACACTCTTGTAGTCCCAGGTACTTAGGAGGCTGAGGCAGAAGTTAACTTAAACCTGAGAGTTCTGCCACAGCCTGAGCAACTAAGACTCCACCCCAGAGTATGCAGCAGCAACAAGAGAACAAAAGAAACACAGCACACAGAAGTCCAGCTTGGTGGCACACTTCCATAACACTAGCTTTGGGGTGGCTCGGTTACGACGGTCATGAGCTTGAGGTTAACACCAGCTACAGAATGTGGTCAAGTTTCTCTTTGGGCCACCAGCTCACAAAGGACATGGAGACTTTTAATAATATGATGAAAACTCAGCCTTAGCTTAGCTTAGGCTTGCCCAACTAGCTCTTATAACTTAACCTGTTTTTATTAATCTACGATTTACCATGAGGCTTTTTATCTTTCTGTCATCCTGTACCTCCTGTCTTGTGTGTCTCCTGGCATCTCTGCTGAGCCTTGATTATCTCTTCCTCTTCCTTTCTGTACCCGGAAACCCCACCTATTCCTCCTGCCTAGCTCTTGGCCGTTCAGCTTTTGATTACACCAATCACAGAAAATACATCTTCACACAGTCTACAAATATCCCACTACAATAATATAGTGCCTCTAAGGGTTGCCTGAGCAATATAGCAAGACTCCCTGATGCATAGGGACTTTCAGTCTGCATTGTATATAAGAGAGAAAGGAGAGAGAGGGGTGGGGAGGGAGATGAGGGACTTGGAGTGTGGAAGAGGGGTGAGTGTCTGAGGGGGTTTCTGCGTGGTTCTCTAGATTGCAACATCAGCTTGTTTCTGGGAAGTTCCTAGTAATGCACTTGGGCCCTGTGCTACACACCCTCAATGTTCATTTTAATAAGGCCCTAGGATGACTTTTGCACACGTTAGTCTGCACGAGAAGATGTAAGTTCCAGTATGTCAATGGATGGGACTTGAGAGTTTCCTTGGGTCTCTCCTAAGTGAACTTCATGAGCCTGGGCAGGAAGGTCAGTGGCTGCCGGGAAGTCACTTCATCGAGCTTTTAGGGCCCCAGACTCCCTTGTTCATCTCAGACTAGCATTGGTATCCATAGTAAAATCACTCATGCGCAATCACTTTCTCCTCCGTAGGTCTTTTGATGGATTCTGCAGTGGCCAAAGGAATCAAGAACAACTTTTAACATTAGCAAACATTTTGAGGGAAGAAGGAAAAGTTTTCAACGAAAGGGTCTTTTATACTGCCGGCTACAGTAGTCCTTTCCAATTACTTGATAGAAATAACGAAGTGTGGCTGATTCAGACCAATGAGCCCTCCAAAGAAAACGAGTAAGAAAATGAAGCTCACTGCCAGGGGCAGAACTCCTGTTGAATGCAGACATCAACAGCACCTTAAGTGAAGTATCTAGTGTCTTCATAATGTAAATACCTGATGTGCAGGATATCTGATATGTGACCCCCCAAAGGGGCCACAACTCACAAGTTGAGAACTGCTGTTCTGGGGTGTCTTACCCTAAATACCATCCCGAATCATGCTTATTTCCCGTGTGCCTTTTTGAGATGCTTTATTTAGGTCCAGGTACCAAGACATATCTATGAATGGGTCCTAAGTGAGATGACCTCTGTTTCTGTGAGGATCCAGGGCAAAGCCATGCCATTTCCCTCTTATCCTGGCTATTACCATCAAGTTGCCTTCTTCTGCTTGGATTTAGGACATTTGAATGCTCTACCTTCCATATAATAACAATAAAAATGTTCAAGATTTGTCCTGTGTAGAAGTAAAATTAAATAGTCTTACTGCTGCCTCGATTATGTTTTTTTCTGTTGAATCCATGCCCCAGTCCAGCTACCGGTCCCTGCATAAAGAAAGCTCTTACCTTCAAGTGTTGACAGAATTTGCAGAAAGAAAATACATTGATGAAATGATGAGACTTCCTCTGCCACTTGACAGGTGTGCCTTTTGAAGAAATACATCCAAATACCTAATTTTTATATTCACTGGAATTTTTGAAGTATTGCATGTAGTCTTTCTAGAGGTTTTTATGGAAATTCTTACTCCTTCAAAGTGTGGGTTGCTGCAAAATCAAGGAGGCTGGAAAGCCTTGCCTCCTTGGGCTGTCAGGTCTTATTGTTGGGATGATCAAGTCACGTTCAGGTTCCGGGGCAGCTGTCATAGGAAGGACCCTCTCGCTAATGTGGGCTCCTGGGATGATGCTTTCAGAGCAGGGGATAAAGCAGGTTAGACCTCAGGAATGTCCTGATAATTAAAACTGCTCACAAATGGCACGGTTCTACTTCTCATTGACTGTGTGAGCGGAAACCACATAGTCACTTGTTGAGAAATAATCATAGAGGAGGCTGAGGAGCCAGTAGTTTGGATCGGGTGAAATGATGCATGAGATTCCTCCAACTTTAATGTTATGAGGTGCTTTTGTGAAATTAAACTTTGTAGAACAGTGTTCTCAACCTTCCTAATGCTGCCATGTTGTGGTGACCCCCCCAACTCCATAACTAATTTTGCTACTTTTATGAATCATAATGTAAATAGTTTTAGATATAGAGGTTTGTCAAAGTGGTCCCAACCCATAGGTTGAGAGCGCTGCTCTAGACCGTGATCTGCCCCCGTAGTTACGAGTTTCTAGGTAATCTATTCTGAATGCCTCACCTGAATCCTCACAGTCAAACCTCAGAATAATCCACATGTGAGCATCATTATTTTATAGAAGGGGAAACTAGTTGCCCCAGATAAAACTGTAAGGGCAGAGGTTGACCTGGTTTTTCCTTTCATTCTCTTACCAGGCCAACTGAGGTAATAATTTTCCTGCACAGAAACCTTTGAAATGGTTGTTTTTGATACTAAACAAGCTACATTTCTGTTTTTTTTAAATTACTGAAGATAAAAAGCTTTAATTCTCAGCATTATTTCCCTCAGTTGCATGTTGAATTTATTGATTTCTTATATATCTATGCTTGCCAAAAAGCAATTACTTTTATAGCATGGATATGTATGATCACTGAGAGATGCCTTTAGTCTCTGCTACTGATAAAAGTCCACATTACTAATGTCGATTGTTAGGAGGCAAATATTTCCAGTATTTAACCTGCAGTTCTGTATGAAACATGCATAATTTCCATTTTAAATGAGAGGAACCTATTTCTGATGGCTAAAATGGAAAAGTGTTCCAAAAAAACCAATTTTTGCCCCATTCAAGTTCAATGTATTCCAGTTTCCTCTTCTTTTATAAGCTAAAACCATGTCAACCACAAATTGGTAGGTCCAGACAGTGTTTCTCACAGCAGCAACTTGGTTCATTTCATGGCTAACACTGATTGTGAAGCATCCTTTGTGTTAACATTTTTCCTTGTGTCCTCCTATCTATGGGAGACATGTTTAGACCTTTTTAAAAAGATTTATTTATTTATTATGTATACAGTGTTATGCCTACATGCCAGAAGAGGGTATCAGATCTTATCATAGATAGTTGTGAGCTACCATGTGGTTGTTGGGAATTGAACCCAGGTCCACTGGAAGAGCAGCCAGTGCACTTAACCTCTGAGCCATCTCTCCAGCCCTAGACTTTCTTTTCTAAGTCTCAGTCTTCCTCTTTGCTGTTGGTCTAATTTTGCTCCATGAATGAGACCCTGTCTTTTCTGCAAACTCAATGCCTCCAATTGCTGCACCCAAAACAGACTCTGGTTTTGGAAACCTGATTCCCCCACAAGAAATCCCACTTTTCCTTGACTCTTATATAGGTCAGTTCCCAGCTTGCTTGCGCATTCTACCCTACAACCTTGCTCATTTATCTAGTTGCCCTGCAAAGAGTTGACCAAAGGCTTCCTTGGAGCTTTGGACTATAAGGCCACATCTCAGGAATGAAGGTGGCCAGTCCCATGTGCCCTTCACTTTCCACACAACCATGTGTGTCTTCCCAGGTAAGTCAGCGTTTTGAAAACATAGTTCTTTGAAAAGAACTCATCGAAACTCATAGCATTCACTCATCTCTTCACAGTTACCACTTAGCGTCTTAAAAATCTCAAATCTGCCTCCCCCACCACACAAGTAGTTCTCTGACATGGCATTTATTTTTATGGTTCAGGTAACTACGGAGTCCGTACTCTGTTCCTGGGACAGTGCTCATGGTCCCTCATCACTGACTTGCTATTCACTAGCTTCAGCAACATGGTTCATTTATCTACTGAGTCCAGCTGCCTGCTGAAAATACAGTCGTGTTCATGAAGCATGGGGGCCCCATCTCAATGGACTTTGCTTCCTAGACAGTTGAGGAAGTTCAATGAAATAAGATGAGCTGAAATTATGACAAGTGCTATCAAGAAATGATGTGAGGGTTGCTGGGCAGAGACTTCCATCTGTAAAATGTTTGCTATAGAGACAGGAGGACCTCCAGACAATGTCCACATTAAAAATAAAAGCAAGCAAACAAACAACAAAAAGATGGACGTGGTGGCAGGGCCTGGGAAGCTCATGCTAGAGAACTGGAGACAGGCAGAGCCTTAGTGCTCTCTGGCCAGCCTCTAGGTTACTTGGTGAATTTGAAGCTAGTGAGGGACCTAGTCTCAAAATCAAATCAAAACAAAACAAAACAAAAACAAAAACCAAACAAAAAAGCAACAAAAACCAGAGTGAACATGCCCTGATGAGAAGACAGCCAAGATTGTTCTCTGGCCTCCAAATGTACACACATAGTCACGCATGCTCCCACACACCTATGGGCCTGTTCACATATAAATGAACACACACACACACACACACACACACACACAGAGAGAGAGAGAGAGAGAGAGAGAGAGAGAGAGAGAGAGAGAGAGAGAGAGAGAGAGAGAGTGTTGAAATGAGCCCGTGAGACAAACACATGGAAGGCTGTGTGGCTGTCACACAGCATGGCCAGGGAAGTTCTTTCTGAAGGAGATCCTTGGGAGACAAAAATAATAAAAGCCGGGGGCAGAGGGTACAGCTTGGGTAGATGTGACAGTGGCAAAGACAGACTATGTTCAGTGCCCACCCTAAAATGCTGTTACATGCTGCTTGCCGAATGGGACGGCTGGGCTTCTAGGGCACCGACTCTTCGGATAAAGAAAACTGCTGACCTTACATGGGGTTTTAGGAAGCCTAGAGCGCAGGGATTAAAGGGCTTCCTAAAGCATTTATGGATTGAGTTGAGGCTAAGGAGGTGCAGTTTCCAGAGCTGGGATGCTCCTGAGTGCCCTGGTTTAGAAGTGGGGTTAGAGATGTGAAGTTGTCAATGATCTGTAGAATATTCCTTTACACTGCGTGAATATAGGTCACCATGACTGGTTTAATAAGGAAGCTGACTGGACTATAGCTAGGCCTGATAAGGTTAGGCTGAAGGACCAGAGAATGCTGGGAAGAAGAGGGACAGAGTCTGGGAGCTGTAAGGAGACACCGAGAGAAGCCAGATGGGCATGCGTACTGAGAAAAGGTTCCAAGCCATACGGCAAAAAGCAAAAATAAGAAATTTGGATTCGTTTAAAATGTAAAAGTTAGTTAATAACAAGCCTGAGCTATTAGCTGAGCATTTCTAATTCATTTTAAGTCTCGGTGTTGGTTATTTGGAAACTAGTGGGACAGAAACTTCCACCTACATTGTTCCTATTGCCCCTTGTTACAGCAACCTGAGAATGGCCACTTGTTTTCTGAGATTTGGGGTTGTGGTAGAGAGTCACCTTCAGATGGGCTGAGGGAAGAACTCAAAGCAGGAACATGAGGCAGAAACCACGGAGGAACACTGCTGAGTGGTTTGCGGCCACTCCTGGCTAGCTCAGCTGCTGTTCTTGTACCGCCTAGGCTCATCTGCCCAGGGCTGGCATTGCTCACAGTTGGGGACTCAACTAGCAATCAAGAAAATGTCCTCACAGGTGTGCCCCCAGGTGCACACACAAAATCAACTATTACAAGTCCTTCACCCAGAGAGCCAAGCAGACAAATCTGAAGGTCAAGTGTGGACTCTGATGCTAAACCTAGCTAGCTTCCAGCCAATGTCCAGCTCTGTGATGCCTAGACAGAATCAAACGTGGGAGGCTGAAACACAGCTGGGCCTTCTCAGATCAACTCAACTAGCACTAGACTCAAGACAATGTCCTCACAGGTATGCCCACAGATGAGTTTGATGAAGGCATTTTTTTTTTTTCAATTGAGATTCCCTCTTCCCAGATGCGTCAAGTTGACAACCAAGATTAACCATCACACCCACTATATGCAAGAGCCGAGGCCCTAGCCCTAGCACCTCAAGAAACCAAATCACAAGGACCCGAGGTCAATCCCAAGAACCACTTGAATAGCGTCCGGTGTGGTGCTTCACACTTGCAATCGTACTGGCGAGGAGGTGGATTCTGGGAGCTCGCCGGGGATCGGTTGGCCAGCTTAGCCTACCTCGCGAGTTTCGGGCCAATGGGAGCCACTGTCTCAACAGTTACGGGGACAGTACTCGAAGAATAACACCTGAGGTGGGCTTCTGGCTTCCACGTGCATATACACACATGTACACACACACACCCCCCACACACGACTATGCAGATGCACACACAGGCACAGAGACACACACAAAATCAACTATTACAGGCCGGGCGGTGGTGGCGCACGCCTTTAATCCCAGCACTCGGGAGGCAGAGCCAGGTGGATCTCTGTGAGTTCGAGGCCAGCCTGGACTA